TCTTGGGCTCAAGCGATTCTGTTGCCTCAGCCTCCCAAGAAACTGGTACTATAGGTGCCCACCACAGTGCCTGGCTATTTTTAGACATGAGGTCTTGCTCTGGCTCAGGCTGGTCTCGAACCTATGAGCTCAGGCAATTCACCTGCCTCGGCCTCCCAGAGAGCTAGGATTATAGGCATGAGCCACCTCGCCCAGCCTAAATGGTATTTTAGATGAGATCTGAATCTAGGGCTCATTTGCCTTCCAAATTCTTGTCACTAAATAGTAGAAAACACTATGGAAAGGCAAAACAGAAGGGTACATTAGAATGTTGATAGTCTTTATCTCAGGGTGACTGGATTGGTGGTCATTTTCATTTTTTCTTCCTTTTACATTCTATGCTCTATGATGGGTAGATACTGTGTACTCAACAAAAGATCTCAAAGCCAGTCCCAGCTACTTGGGAGACTGAGGCAAGAGGATCACTTGATCCTAGGAATTTGAGGTTGCTGTGAGCTACAATGACACCATGGCACTGTATCCTGGGTGACAGAGTGAAACTCAGTCTCAAAATAAATAAATAAAACAAATATTAACAGAAGGCTCCAATAAAAATTTTCTTTTCTTTTTCTTTTCTAATAAAATCTTAAAAAAAAAAAAAAGGTTTGTGAAGACCGGACACAGTGGCTCATGCCTATAATCCCAGCACTCTGGGAGGCTGAGGCAGGTGGATTGCCTGAACTCACAGGTTCAAGACCAGCCTGAACAAGAGCAAGACCGCATCTCTAAAAACTAGCTGGGCATTGTGGTAGGCACCTGTAGTCCTTGAGGCAACAGAATCTCTTGATTCCAAGAGTTTGAGGTTGCTGTGAGCTATGACGCCATGGCACTCTACCGAAGGCAATAAAGTGAGACTCTGTCTCAGAAAACAACAAAAAAAATTTGCGTTAGTCCAGTAGCTCCTTCCAGGTGGGCTGGCTGTAGAACCCAGGAGCTGCAGCTACCCCACCCATGTCCTTTCAGCCTAGTGCTCTTCCCTCTTTGCAAAGCTCACTGTGCTCCCCCAACCCTCCTTTGTATTTAGGACAGTGAGGAAGAAAGGGGGTCAGCAAGGAGAATGGCTGGTTAGTACCACGCTGAGGGATGTTGTTGAGAAGCAAGTGGAATTTCCCCTTGATGGCTCTAGCCTGGGGCCACTAGTCATTGTGGTTTGGTCCCCTCTGTTTTGCCTCCATAGGCCATTGAGAAACTGGTTGCCCTTCTCAACACTCTGGACAGGTGGATTGATGAGACTCCTCCAGTGGACCAGCCCTCTCGATTTGGGAATAAAGCCTACAGGACCTGGTATGGCAAACTGGATGAGGTGAGACTGCCACAGGACAGGGCTGGGGGCTGGGCTGGTGGGAGAGTGATTTTGTAGCAGATGAGGAAGGGCATGCATTGTTTAGATCTTTCAGACAGAATCACAAGAGGGTTAAAATAGCAGTTCCAAATGCGTTGACCCTCTGTCCTAGCCATCTTTTGGGAATTGCTACTGTGGGTATACAGTCCTTTGCACAAGGCTGTTTATTAAGTCATTGTATTAGCAACAGATTAGAAATGTCCCAATTATTCATCTGTAGGGGATCAATTAAACCAGTCTATTCACAACATGGAGTACTATGCAGCTATAAAAAGGGTAAGAAAGCTGTCTAGGAAACTCAGTGAAAAGGACTGTAACTCATGGTTTGGTCAAAGAAGAGTCAGGTGTGGGTGGCGCCTGTGGCTCAAAGAAGTAGGGTGCCAGCCCCATGTGCCAGAGGTGGTGGGTTCAGGCTCAGCCCTGGCCAAAAAAAAAAAAAAAAGAATAGTCAGGTGTAAGGTTGTACTTGTAAGCTACGTCTTGGTAAGAAAGAGGAAAAATATATGTTCAAACTGCCCATATTTTCATAAAGAAACATCTCTGGAAGACTATATAAGAGGCTTACAAAGCTGGAGTTTCTTTTTGCAGACAGACAAGAGTGTGGTGGAGTGAGGCTTCTCAGTGCATCTCTGCTGTGTTTTTAGTTTTGAATATTATGAAGGTATTACCTGTTCGAAGCAAACAGAAAACAAAAATGCAGGATCTTAGGCTCCTTCCTTAGAAAGGCAGAGTCTATAGGTCTGGGAAGGGGCTGGGAAACCAGGAGATTCTCATGTCAGCTGTCGAAAGCTGAGCTTAGGGAAACTTGGGTCCTAATTTCTCTGGCCAAGTGTTTTCACAGAGAGCAGAAGAGAGTCCCCAGGACCAGCAAAACACTGTCCTAAGAGAAGCTAGGGGCTGCCTCTGGACTCTAAGGTGGTACCTAGTCTTGTTTTTTTGTTTTTTGTAGAGACCGAGTTTCACTTTATCGCCCACAGTAGAGTACTGTGGTGTCACACAGCTCACAGCAACCTCTAACTCCTGGCCTTAGGCAATTCCCTTGTCTCACCCTCCCGAGTAGCTGGGACTACAGACACCTGCCACAACGCCCAGCTATTTTTTTTGTTGCAGTTTGGCCGGGGCAGGGTTTGAACCCGCCACCCTTGGGTTATGGGGCCAGTGCCCTACCCACCGAGCCATAGGCGCCACCTGGTTTTTTGTTTTTTTTCTGAGACAGAGTCTCATTATGTTGCCGTTGGTAAAGTGCTGTGGTGTCATAGCTCACAGCAACCTTCAGCTCTTGGGCTTAGGCGATTCTCTTGCCTCAGCCTCCCGAGTAGCTGGGACTACAGATACCCGCCACAATGCCTGGCTATTTTTTGTTGCAGTTTGGCGGGGGCTGGGTTTGATTCCGCCACCCTCAGTTTATGGGGCCAGTGCCCTACTCACTGAGATACAGGTGCTGCCCAGTTGTCATTGTTGTTTGGCAGGCCTGGGCTGGGTTTGAACCTGCCAGCCTCAGTGTATGTGGCTGGCGCTATAACCACTGTGCCAGGGGTGCCGAGCCCTTTTGCCTGTTTTTCATCTTCATATAAATGTCTAGCTTTTTTTGCTCAGTGTTCTGTCTGCAATTTACCCACATTGTCATATTGCGGCAGACCCTTTTCCTTGCTGTGTAGTATTCCACAGTACGAATATACCAGTTTATTCCACTGTAGACGGGCATTTCAGTTTCATTTGCTCATTTTGGCTACTATAAACAATGCTGCTGTGAGCCTTCTTTTATTTTTTTTTTTTAGAGACAGAGTCTCATTTTATCGCCCTCAGTAGTGTGCTGTGGCATCACACAGCTCACAGCAACTTCCAACTCCTGGGCTTAGGCAATTCTTGCTTCAGCCTCCTGAGTAGCTATGACTACCGCTGGGGCCGGGTTTGAACCCACCACTCTCAGTATATGGGGCTGGCGCCCCACCCACTGAGCCACAGGTGCCGCCCATAGCATTCTTGTGTGTGTCTTTTGGTGGACAGATGGTACAAACTCTTGCTGCCCTGGAAGTGTGAAGGAAAATGGCTCCTATGGGGACCATAGCACTGACTTCCTGGAGTGTCCGTGGGGCTCCAGTGAGTTACTAGATGGGAGAATTGAATGGCTCCTTTTCAGATTCTTCCCTGTTGCCCTCAGATCCCTGTGCCCTTGGAGAAAGGGTCAGCAGGGGATCAGCTGCTCTGGGGTGGTCTTCCTGTTGTGTGAGAATAAATGCCATTCCTATTCTTCCTTCTGGGGCCAGTCAGAATAGGGAACCAGGCTGGCCTGGCAGCCTGGGCCCCCAGCCCGATGTGGCCCCTGGGCTCCCTCCCACTGGATGCTGCCTAATCTGGTGCCACCACTTTGTGTCTGTTGTGTTATCAGGAAGCAGAGAATTTGGTGGCCACGGTGGTTCCCACCCATCTGGCAGCTGCTGTGCCTGAGGTGGCTGTTTACCTAAAGGAGTCAGTGGGGAACTCCACGCGCATTGACTATGGCACAGGTATCTGCTGCATGCAGGGCTCTGCATTCATTTGGCTTCACTGCTTTACTTGTGCTCTGGGAGGCCTTGGGGTTCTCTGAACAAGTAAGAGTTTGCCAAACCCTTGCAGCCTGTTGGGGCCAGCTGGGGTCAGCTGGGGTGTGGGGTGGTTGCAGGGGGGAGTGGGTGGGAGGCAGTAGTGTTGGGAGGCCTGACGTTGCAGCTCCAGTGTGTCCACCAGGGGGGGCTGATGCCATACCCATGGAGCTTGTTTGTGCAGTGCTGATTTCTGTTCTTTGTACAGATGGCCTGTATAAGCTCCTTATCATCACCAGCAGTTGCCTTGACATATAGTAAGTGCTCAATAATAATTTAGAGAATAATAACTTATTGAGCACGTACTATATGTCAAGACAACTGCTTACAGAAGCTTTGAGAAATGAAGGAGTTTTATTGGTAGCCTTTCTAGTATCGTGGCATAGCCTCTCCCTGACTCCCCTCGTTTCTTAGCCACATTCTTTTTTTTTTT